TCCATGTCCAAGGTGGACGGTGAAAGCGTCCAATCGCCGAAGGCCTGCAACAATTTTTCCAGCGATGCCATGCCTTCTGTGTCGTAGACAGCTTTTATAATGGAGAAAACGCATTGTTTTGATCACATCCACCTCTTCTGCTGGTTCTCAGGTAGTTGCATTTCGGACTCTCTGTTATCGGCTGAATGAAGGACATTTTCCTCAGTTCCACGTACCGGCTTCTGGCAGACCAACAAATCACTTAGCTGGGTAAATGTTGCTTTTACTAACATCGGAAACGTCCTCCATTCCATGGTCTGGCGTGAATGTTGAGTTTGGGGAACTTACCATTAGCACTCTGTCTTGTGTTGATTGACGCCAGTTACAAGTGGACGCAGACTGCTCTAGTGAACACATTCAAAGAAGGATTCTACAGCAGCCCAGTATGAGGCACTGCCTGATCAATAATCACTGCCCCAGGTAGTCACGTGATGTAAACTTTGTCTTCGAGACAATCCAAGTGATGGCGGACCACAACACGTGAACGGAATGCCGACAGCCACGCTATGGAGACACACAATCAACACTTTTAGGTACCCACGCTCGTGGCAAAAACCATTAGAATAACCGGACACAAACCGAATTGAGGCGGGTTGCACACACTTCTCCTGAAGCTGAGGTAATCGCAGACGCCAATAACGTTCCCTTCGCTCGCACGATAGAAGGAATATGGAATATTAAGCGCTTTGGAGTGCAGAGGTGCTAATAAAATCAGGGTCATTATCGCTTGAAAGTCATTTTTCAAACATGAGTGATTGAACTTGCTGACAACGTTCACTCGTACTTTGACAGAATGCTCAATGTCAAAAGTCGAGATTCGTAATCAGCATGTGGAAGACCACGGTGTATAGACTAGAATCCTTTAAATCAACTGATCACATTAACTGGTTTCGATCAACTCCTGGCGATGACTGATGACCCTGAGTCACCGATCTGATCTGTCTTGCCATTATAACACGTTCCAGACATTGTCAACATTGGCATGAAAACGTTCACTGGACGGGGTCAACCTAGTTTCTGTGTACAAAAGTCCTTCCTTTTAACCCATTAATCCGGTCACTGCAAGCCGACGCACTGTCCTCTTTCCACAGCATGCTCGTCGGCCATGCGAAGCTGTCTGCTCATGCACTCGTTGTTCATGTTCTTCCCTTCTTCGCTTTCCACTTCATTCACCTGATTTTTCTTACAAGTACAACAAAATTGCATTGGTCAGTAGCCACGTGCAGGACCTCTAAATGCACACCTACGACAACGAAAGAACTTGGTTGAGGGAACTAGGAAACCGTTGTGTGCCCACCAATCCAAGCCTTCATATCAGTGTAGAATTAACCAATTCGATACCATGCCAGCCCCGACGTAGACCAAAGCCACATGAAGGGAGCTCCTACGACCTATCCAGTCTTTGGTGAATATGTAAAAGTGCAGATGGCCGAACAGCCAGATGAGTGAACTAAGTATCGGGGAGGGAGGGATTAGAGAATTAGGGTCCAACATGGCTGTAAACGGAGGTCAGTGCGTCACAGACAACCACGACGGGGTTAATGGACATTAGGCAGCACAATTCACTGTAAGTGTATTCTGATGATTAAAATAAGTGACCATAGTTGTCATAATGCATCTATCATTTACCTCATCCTCATTCCACTTCACTCACCTGGCCGTTCAACCACTTGAAACTTGTGTAAGTTCGTCCAAATTGTACCTGTCCGCAACTGCGTTAGTCATGCATGACATTTTAATTCATGCTCACGACAACAACGCAACTTGGTTGAGCTAGCTAGTAAGCGGTTGTGTCCTCGCCATTTCAGGTCTTCTTCATCTAATTGGGTATCACCGAAGAGTCATCGACCAATCCAACAACGTGGCTGCCCGCACATGGTTCAAGATACCATGCCGGAGTTTTAACAGCCTAAACCACGTGGGTGAACTTGTGGAAGTGGAA